TAAAGTTTGGAATTGAGTTGGTTTGCTAAAAGTTGCACAATGACCAAACAACAATAAACAGTTACATATGTATAATTGGTTTGTCCCCAATGCCATGCTTTCTTTATGTATATATCTCTATGTATTGTTATGTATGTGTAAGTCTAAGTAGCTCTATTTGATTTAATTCAAGGTTCAAAAGATAACCAACTTGTATATTGCATGTGTTCCAGAGCCTTACATACTCTCTCATTTTCATTTAAAGTAATAAATATGTGACTAAAATTATTTATCTCTTCATTGTACAAAAACCAAGCACAAAGTTATTACTTTATTATTCTATCCGATAGTCAATCTTAACCAAATTTAATGCATGTGACGATATGTTAAAACAAAAAAGAAACAAAACCAAATTGCATAATCACAAATTTTAAAGTCATGTAGGCATTTTTCGCACAATAATTGGTTGACATGAAATATAATTGATTCGACAATTTTTAAAATATATAGGATATTTCATTAACTATTTACAATAATCTCATAATAATTTTGCATATAATAATTCTTCACGGAAAAGAACATTGTTTTAATATTGGGCAAACACTGTCGCGCCTTGCGCGGAAAAAAACGCTAGTTATTTAATAAGTGACAATTGGAATACAAATTATCTCTCATTTTTGTACTCCTATTTTCAATTGGAATACAACGAAGTAGTTAGAGCCTGTTTACTAATATAGGTATTTTTCAGGTTTCCAGAAAAATTTGGAAAAAATGAAAAAAAGGATAAAAGAAAACGTGTTTTTAAAAACAATCATTGTTGGAAACCGGAGAAATCAAAACAGAAAAATACGTTTACCAAATCATTTTCCAAAACAAAAAAATGACACATGACTTTGTTTTCCTTAATGAATTGGAGAAGTGAGTTTTACTAGTTTTTCAAATTTGAAAAATGTTGATGTTGCAGTGGCGCTACAATGAATTTGCATACTTACACTTAGTGGTAGTCTTGAACCTGGTCTAGTGTCAGTTCCAGTTTGGTCCGATCAACGACCCGACGGTCCCTACTAGTCCGATCAACAACTCGGCGGTCCTTGTCGGTCCGAACGATGACAGAGCAGTCCTGGTTTGGTCGACGACCCAATGGTCCCAATCTGGTCCGATCCACGACCCATCAATCCCTGTCTGACCCAGTTAATGAGCTGACGGTCCGTATCTGATCCGGTCAACGATTCAACAGTCCCTGTCCGATCCAATCCATGACCAGACAATACATGTGTGGTCTGGGTGATGACCCGATGGTTCGGTCGATGATCCGGTTGCCCCTGTTAGGTCCGATCCATGACTAGGCGGTACCTGTTCAGTCTGGTCGATGGCTGGGAAATCCCGGTCCAACCTTGCCCGATCAATGGCACGGTGATCCCCGTCGGACTTAACGACCCGACAGTTATTGTCCTGTATGGTCAGCGACCCGACGGACCGACGGGCCCCGTCCTACCTGGTCAACGACCAAGCAGTCTTCGTCCTGTCTGGCCAACGATCCAGAGATCTGTGTTCGGTGCAGTCGACAATCGGGCGGTCCCTGTCTGGTGCGGTAAATGACCAAGCAGTTCGGTTTCCTTTTTTTAAAATCATTTTTTAAAGTGAATAGTATTAAAAGAGTCATTGAGTTGTGTTACGGACCTAGCCCATACTAAGCACGTACCAATACCATAACCCCAGGTGTATAACTCACTGCAAAAGGATCAGCCAATTAGGAGGATGTAACATCTTGCTTATAAGCCATCAGTCAAACCCATATTTGATAGGTGTGGGATCATTACAAGTTGTCAACCAATAGGAAAAACGGAGAATAATTCGTCCAAAGCGGTTGGTTTCGGTCGTAAATTATATCCTACAACTGGCTGTACTTTGAGCATGCTATAGTCGGGTATTTTTGTAATATATTGGAATCTTAAAGTTGTGAACATATGAAACGTAGGGAAAATTGGGATGAAGTATAACTTATGGGATGGGCTGCGCACCAGTGTCGACTTCAGGAGCCATGGAGATCGGCGATTGGTAGGCTGAACTCCGACCTCCTTACCGTTTGCTGCTGCTACCTATGAAGCACGGATACTTCCCTAGGGTAGCGTATCGGCGTATCCGATACGTTCCCGTATCCGATACTCTAGGATACCCGTACCGTACGTTCCCGGGCCGTATCTGCAATTTTTAAAAGTTTCCATTTTTTTTTGTAATTTTTTGAAAGTTTCCGATACTCGTATCCTGACAGATACCCGTATCAACTTTTTAAAAAAAAATCCCAAAAATTACTTAATAAAATTCTAAAAAAATGAAAATCTAAAACTACATTTTACTTGGTAATCAAATAATGGGCCTATATGACTATATCTGAATTAAGTCATTAACTCATACTCCGAATTGGGTACTTGCACTTTTAATTTCAAGATTGTAGTTGTTAGACTTATTTCTCATTTTGAATTAATGACTTATGGAGTACATTTATATATGAGATACACTAGTGTATATGAGAAATATTCTGAATTTATAACTAAGTATCTTGAAAAAGGAAAATGCTTCAATGCAATGAATGAGTAGACATCATAGGATATTGATGTGTGTGTGTATATATATATATATATATATATATAGGAAAAACTTCCGGTAAGGTATACCTTACCGGAGCCGCCGTGCAGCCTCCACGTTTTGAGGGCCTTCCTGGTGGAATTTTTCGATGAAATGTTTTGAGCATGTTCTTCATCAAATCTAGTACATCCATACCAAATTTCAGCAAAAAATGCAATCGAGAAGGCAGTCAAACGATTTTTGGAAGATAACTGCAACCTTTATATACATATAAAACGAAGTCAAACGATCCCGACTTTTCTATACATGAGACCTGATACCCTACTTAGAATTGTACTAGATTCAATTTTGAACTGGGACCGAACTTTTAATATTCTGATCGGTCACAGAATCAAATGAAAAATTTGATGAACTTGAAAAATTTTGCGGTCCTTGTCGGTCCGAACGATGACAGAGCAGTCCTGGTTTGGTCGACGACCCAATGGTCCCAATCTGGTCCGATCCACGACCCATCAATCCCTGTCTGACCCAGTTAATGAGCTGACGGTCCGTATCTGATCCGGTCAACGATTCAACAGTCCCTGTCCGATCCAATCCATGACCAGACAATACATGTGTGGTCTGGGTGATGACCCGATGGTTCGGTCGATGATCCGGTTGCCCCTGTTAGGTCCGATCCATGACTAGGCGGTACCTGTTCAGTCTGGTCGATGGCTGGGAAATCCCGGTCCAACCTTGCCCGATCAATGGCACGGTGATCCCCGTCGGACTTAACGACCCGACAGTTATTGTCCTGTATGGTCAGCGACCCGACGGACCGACGGGCCCCGTCCTACCTGGTCAACGACCAAGCAGTCTTCGTCCTGTCTGGCCAACGATCCAGAGATCTGTGTTCGGTGCAGTCGACAATCGGGCAGTCCCTGTCTGGTGCGGTAAATGACCAAGCAGTTCGGTTTCCTTTTTTTAAAATCATTTTTTAAAGTGAATAGTATTAAAAGAGTCATTGAGTTGTGTTACGGACCTAGCCCATACTAAGCACGTACCAATACCATAACCCCAGGTGTATAACTCACTGCAAAAGGATCAGCCAATTAGGAGGATGTAACATCTTGCTTATAAGCCATCAGTCAAACCCATATTTGATAGGTGTGGGATCATTACAAGTTGTCAACCAATAGGAAAAACGGAGAATAATTCGTCCAAAGCGGTTGGTTTCGGTCGTAAATTATATCCTACAACTGGCTGTACTTTGAGCATGCTATAGTCGGGTATTTTTGTAATATATTGGAATCTTAAAGTTGTGAACATATGAAACGTAGGGAAAATTGGGATGAAGTATAACTTATGGGATGGGCTGCGCACCAGTGTCGACTTCAGGAGCCATGGAGATCGGCGATTGGTAGGCTGAACTCCGACCTCCTTACCGTTTGCTGCTGCTACCTATGAAGCACGGATACTTCCCTAGGGTAGCGTATCGGCGTATCCGATACGTTCCCGTATCCGATACTCTAGGATACCCGTACCGTACGTTCCCGGGCCGTATCTGCAATTTTTAAAAGTTTCCATTTTTTTTTGTAATTTTTTGAAAGTTTCCGATACTCGTATCCTGACAGATACCCGTATCAACTTTTTAAAAAAAAATCCCAAAAATTACTTAATAAAATTCTAAAAAAATGAAAATCTAAAACTACATTTTACTTGGTAATCAAATAATGGGCCTATATGACTATATCTGAATTAAGTCATTAACTCATACTCCGAATTGGGTACTTGCACTTTTAATTTCAAGATTGTAGTTGTTAGACTTATTTCTCATTTTGAATTAATGACTTATGGAGTACATTTATATATGAGATACACTAGTGTATATGAGAAATATTCTGAATTTATAACTAAGTATCTTGAAAAAGGAAAATGCTTCAATGCAATGAATGAGTAGACATCATAGGATATTGATGTGTGTGTGTGTGTATATATATATATATATATATATATATATATAGGAAAAACTTCCGGTAAGGTATACCTTACCGGAGCCGCCGTGCAGCCTCCACGTTTTGAGGGCCTTCCTGGTGGAATTTTTCGATGAAATGTTTTGAGCATGTTCTTCATCAAATCTAGTACATCCATACCAAATTTCAGCAAAAAATGCAATCGAGAAGGCAGTCAAACGATTTTTGGAAGATAACTGCAACCTTTATATACATATAAAACGAAGTCAAACGATCCCGACTTTTCTATACATGAGACCTGATACCCTACTTAGAATTGTACTAGATTCAATTTTGAACTGGGACCGAACTTTTAATATTCTGATCGGTCACAGAATTAAATGAAAAATTTGATGAACTTGTTTCTAGATTTAAAAATGTAAAATAAAAAAATGAAAACCGAAAATTGCATAACCAAAAATAGCCAAAAATAGGGAAAAAAAAGGAAAATATCACTGGTAAACAGACCCTTATCTCAATTTCAGATTTGTGGTCATCATCGTGCTATCATCATAGACGAGAAGTCGAGAACCATTGAATGGTATTCCTGAGGGGATTTTAGATTATTACACAAAAGAACACCAATCTTGATGGCGTCTGAAGGTAAATGATGGCGTCTGCGCAGTGTGTTCTGACTTCCATTGTTGGCAAGAATTTGAACAGCTCTGTTCCGATGAGTTATCCGAGCATTTCCAGTATGCCTGGTTTTGATAGTCTGAGTTTGCGGAGAAAGAGTATCTGTCCTAATTCATTTTCAGGATCGAGAGATGCCATCAATGATGATAAGAAGTCTAAGCAAAGGAAGCATACTGTTGATCCTGGTGCCCCAAATTTTCTCCCCCTCCCTTCATTTGAAGAGTGCTTCCCAAAGAGCTCAAAAGAGCACAAGTATTTCTAAGCCTATTTCCTCTCATTTTATTTATTTTACTCTCATTCCTATTGCCGTTTTAGTTTAGCTGTTTATTGTGGCATTTTCAGGGTGATTGTTGATGAGCAATCTGGTCATGTTTTGGAAGTCCCTTTTCGGCGCATCCACCTGACAGGAGATGAACCACATTTTGACACTTATGATACTAGCGGTCCACAGGATGCTAACCCCCGTGTTGGTAAGAATCTCATCTAGTTTATCTTTCTTTAAGCTACATGATTTTTTTTAATTTTGTAAATTTCAATAAACCTAACAAGTCAAACAACCTATAAGAGCTATAGTATGAGTTTCAACTGTAGAGCCTAGACTGTAACGTTAGGAAGTCAATTTCATCTCTTTTATGGTCAGTAATATGTTAGTTCTGAATGTGTGATACTTTAACAATGATATAGGGCTAGTTTGGTTTTGGGATCTTAGAGGGAAGGGGAGGGGATGTATGATTTTTTGTTTTTACTAATACATCTCTAATTCTTAGTTTTAGGCTAGAAATAATTATATGATTAGTTAGATCTTGTATTTGTATGTAGTTTTTTTATCTTTATTTTTATCTTCAATCATCTAAATGAAGAAATACTTTAAAAATTCTTACTAATATACTTTATTTTTACTAATACATCTCTAATTCTTAGTTTTAGGCTAGAAATAATTATATGATTAGTTAGATCTTGTATTTGTATGTAGTTTTTTTATCTTTATTTTTATCTTCAATCATCTAAATGAAGAAATACTTTAAAAAGTAAATATTGATCCTCTCGTAATCCCCACACAAAGAAACTGGTAAAAAAGTCTTTGATGTTGTTGTTATTGAGCTATCATTGGATTAGTATAAACTTTGAAATGGTTATGTGGATTAGGACTCCCCAAGCTGCGCAAAGAGTGGATCGACAGAAGGGAGAAGTTGGGTGGGCCGAGATACACTCAAATGTTTTATGCAAAAAATAACATTATAACTGAAGAGATGATATTTTGTGCTGCCCGTGAGAATCTTGACCCAGAGTTTGTGAGATCCGAGGTTGCCCGTGGGCGAGCAATCATTCCCTCAAACAAAAAGCACCTAGAGCTCGAGCCAATGATTGTGGGAAGGAACTTCTTGGTCAAAGTCAATGCCAACATTGGAAACTCAGCCGTTGTGAGTTCCATTGAGGAGGAAGTGCACAAACTACAATGGGCAACGATGTGGGGTGCAGATACTATCATGGACCTCTCCACTGGCCGTCACATCCATGAGACCCGTGAATGGATCTTGCGCAACTCTACTGTCCCCGTGGGGACTGTACCAATCTACCAAGCATTGGAAAAAGTGGACGGTATCGCTGAGAAACTTTCTTGGGAAGTTTTTAGAGATACATTGGTTGAACAAGCTGAGCAAGGGGTTGATTACTTCACCATCCACGCTGGAGTATTGCTTCGCTATATTCCCTTGACTGCAAAGAGAATGACTGGGATTGTTTCCCGTGGAGGTTCCATACACGCAAAGTGGTGCTTGGCCTATCACAAGGAGAATTTTGCTTATGACCATTGGGATGACATTCTGGACATATGCAATCATTATGATGTATCTTTGTCTATTGGTGATGGGCTGAGGCCAGGCTCCATTTATGATGCAAATGACACTGCTCAATTCGCCGAGCTCTTAACTCAAGGAGAACTTACCCGTAGAGCTTGGGAAAAGGACGTGCAGGTAATTGTGTCATAGTTGTCTGTATAATCTCAGTTTTCATAGAATCATTGTTTCATAATCATCTTCAACTTAATCACAAATAGTTGGATTAAATAGTTCGGGCGAGTGGCATGGAATTTAGGCATGCTTGGTAAAATCCATTTCAGCCAAAGTGTTTAGCAAAATCCATTTCTGAATCAAGTGTTTAGTAAAATCTTCAGCCAAATAAGTCAAAAGGTGCTTCTACTTTTCATAGAATAAGCAGGATATGGCCACCTAATGCAGCCTTATATGATAAGCGTGTGTCTAAACAAGTTACGGAATTAATCAATCCAGAAAGTGTGGTGACAAAGTTCTACGCCATATGCCTTTCCTCGAATAGCGGAATCATCATTTGTATTTCCCTATTAAAAAAGGTAGTTGAGTAGTTCTACAACTTCTTAGTTGGTGTAGGCATTTCATGAATAAAAAACTCCAACAACTGAATCCTTATAGATCATGTTGCTTTAGTACTCTTCAATGCCGTTATTTCCACTAATAAGGGTGTGTTTGGCACTTTGGCATTGATTATGAATCAAATTCAGAATATTGTTTTGTATGAGAAAGTGATTCATATTTAATTTTATGACATTGTTTCTGCTCTATTCCATCATTTGCAATGGAGCCAAAGATTCGTTATTATTTGGCTTGAAAATATGATGGAATAAAGCAAAATGGCTCACCAAACTGTATGCTCTTCTTTGTTATGAAGCAGTAGTCAGTTCATGCAATTTTGGACGAGATTTTCATTATAGGTTATCGGGAAACAGTCTCTTTGTGCTTTAGTACAGGGGTAAGACTGTGTACATCCGACCCCCCTTACCCCACCGTAGGTGGGAGCCTTTGCGGCACTGGGGTAAATGATGATTGATGATGATTGATTGATATTGCTTCTGCTCTAAAGATAAAGAATCACTTGAGTGTTTGGATAAACCCTTCTGCTTGAAGTTTATCCTTGTATTACATGGCGAAGAGGGTAAAGTTTAGTGGCACACATACACACATAAGTGACAGAGGGTAGTTAAGTAATGAACATTCAAGTATCATAATCAATTTTATAGAAACATGGCCCCACTAGCTTTATATCTGATTCTAAGTGTGCACCAGAAGTGATTCTGGAGTACTCGCAAATACTCATAAAAATGATGATACTGTTTGTAATTACTTGTAGAAGCAGAGTCATTCTAAGAAGCAGATCCAACCACCCGGCCTTAACATGTTAGTATATTCTCTGTAATTCATTCAGGTCATGAATGAAGGACCTGGACACATTCCCATGCACAAGATTCCAGAGAACATGCAAAAACAATTGGAGTGGTGTAACGAAGCACCTTTCTACACTCTCGGACCACTCACCACCGACATAGCACCCGGATATGACCACATAACCTCAGCCATAGGTGCAGCCAATATTGGAGCACTGGGCACCGCCCTCCTCTGCTATGTCACTCCGAAAGAGCATCTTGGCTTGCCTAACCGGGATGACGTGAAAACGGGAGTTATATCATATAAGATATCTGCCCATGCGGCTGACCTTGCAAAGGGTCACCCTCTTGCACAAGCGTGGGATGATGCGATAAGCAAGGCAAGGTTTGAGTTCAGGTGGATGGATCAGTTTGCACTGTCACTTGACCCTGTCACCGCAATGTCCTTCCACGATGAAACCCTGCCATCAGACGGTGCTAAGGTGGCGCATTTCTGCTCCATGTGTGGGCCCAAATTCTGTTCTATGAAGATCACTGAGGATATACGGAAGTATGCTGATGAGCACGGGTATGGGAGCCCAGAGGAAGCGATCCAGCGTGGGATGGACGCTATGAGTGCAGAGTTCAAAGCAGCAAAGAAAACTGTGAGTGGGGAACAACACGGTGAAGTTGGTGGGGAAATCTATCTCCCCAAAACTTACATTGACCCTTTGAAGATCTAAAGGAGGTAAATGGTATGTTTCTTGTAGCGTATTATTTGTTGTAGAGTTGTAGTAATCTTTCTTTTCGCATTTATTAGTAGAATCATATGGTTTCTATTCTCATCCCTTCTGTGTGGATTCGGGAAAATGCTAGGCTAAGACAAGCAAATGCCAAGGAAATTTATTTTCTTATACCTTGAAAAATACAAGAAAAATGGAGTACGGTTTACATATGTTTATTATTATTTTTTGATAAACATAGAATTTGTAGTCTATATGTATTAGAAAGTAATAAAAAAAATGAGTTAGAATAAATATCTAAACATAAACTTCTCTTCCAAATTTTATTTCCTGACAGTTTTTCTTTTTAGATTTTCCTCCCTATTTACCAAGCTCGAAACATAGACATTAGGTTTCGAGGTTTGGTTTCCTATTCCTATTGGGTTTAAGCTCATTGGTTTCTTATATAAGCAATATAATAGTTTAAGGCTTTAAGCATATAGTTGTAAGCTGAAAAGTCATATGAATAGATGTAGTAATTGTAGTTTACTATTCCAAATTATTGATGAATGTTGAGCTGGGAAATGATGCACATATTGGGAGAACAAACTAAGAGAAATAGCTTTCAAAAGCATGAATGGAACTAAAGTATACATACTTGTTTAAGCATCGTTTGTTTCATAATAAAAAACCTAGATAATAATCTGAATGAATGTCTTTGCAGGATAAGTATGCATGTCTGAGTGAACTGCTAATTAGGAGTTCTGGGTTTAAGCCCATTGGTTTCCTATATTAGCAATATAATAGTTTAAGCATATAGTTGTAAGCTAAAAAGTCATATGAATAGATGTAGTAATTGTAGTTTACTATTCCAAATTATTGATGAAAGTTGAGCTGGGAAATGATGCACACATTGGGAGAACAAACTAAGAGAAATAGCATTCAAAAGCATGAATGGAACTAAAGTATGCATACTTGTTTAAGCATCGTTTGTTTCATAATAAAAAAACCCAGATAATAATCTGAATGAACGTCTTTGCAGGATAAGTATGCATGTCTGAGTGAACTGCTACTTAGGAGTTCTACAAGCCATCCATGGCACATGGGGCCCACTCAAACAAGTTTCAAGATCTTGATCCCTTCCTCATAAGTAAGTATTTAGTTTTGGTTGGTGGTGTGAAATAAAACTATGACGACAGATTTCCTTGTTTGAAGATTATCTCTATTTCTCCGTATTGTCAATAATTAATAATGTAAAACCTTGAATATGTAAACCTTCTACATCATGTGTGTTTTGTTTTTCTACAATAATTTGACACAAGAAGTGCACCAGGGGTGTCTGGATCAGCCAGGATGCTCTCTGGCTGAAACAGGCTGAGAAAGTCCCTTTGAACCTGAACAGGATAATACCTGCGTAGGGAGAGTGCCTTTTTCTTTCCCTCTTCTGTCTTTTGCTGACAGGGATATCTAGATATACGGCGAGATTACGACCACAGGCTTGTTTGACCACAACAACTTTCGGAGTAAAGTTTCCCCAGCATTACTGATCTGCTCAGTCGCACGCAGAGTTATTGATATCTTGCATCATGGTAAAATGACGACTTAACATAAATACCTCCTTTCTTTAATAGTTGCAACACTTTAAATTTTACTTTATTCACAAACCTTACTTCTACCATGATTTTCTACTAATATGCGGAGTTATAATCAAATTATTATGTATAAATATTATTAAATTTCTCTTAATGTGAACCTCCAAAAATATTAAATTTTATAATGTTTTGTAATTAAATATAATTGTAGTCAATGTTGTGCTTGGCAAATGTGAAAGTCAAAGTGTTGCAATTAAAAAAGAAAGGAGGTAGTATTTCATTTGGATTCAAGGGAAATCAGTTTTCTTGGATTCATACCGGTGTTATCTGTTATCCAATTTGAGGTGAATTTGCGACTTTAAGAAGTTTATACTTTCATGTACATATGTGTACACAAGAAAATGTGTTAATGCACATCTTAAGGCATTCATGGGGGGATCCAGGGCATTAGGCCGGTACAAAGACCGGATTTTTTACACTAAAAGTATAGGCATTTTTTAAATTTGGGCTGGGCCGGAGCCTAGGTTGGCCCACTAGCTACGCCCCATGAAGGCATTCATGACCCCTTTTGATGTCCTTTAAAATATTTTTTTATTATAACAGTACATTTTAGTAGGGAGTTTTATTATTAAAAAGAAATTTGTAGATACAGAAAGTCAGAAATACAAGTGTGGTAGGTGGTTTTCTCCAGTTGTTTATTTGTATTTACTCTGATTCCTCTTGTTTTTGATACTTTTGATGGATTTTTGGAACTTCAAAACCAGAGAATGACTTTGAGAAAGTTTTCTGTTTAGTTGCATGAAGCTGTCATGCTGAGATTTATTTATGGTAGATTCTATGGTACATTGGTACCCATAAGATACCATACCTTTGTCCACATGGACCAATGAGAATGTAGCAGTTGAATTATTTAAATCTATATTAAAAATGATAAAGTGATGTGGTCCAATCAAATGAATGATAGGTACGGTATCCCATATTTTAGAAAGGTACCAGAGTTGTCACCTTTATTTATTTGCGATAAGTTAGTATTTGGGAGTGCCCTTTTTAGCTTCGTTTCATTTCCTCGGATCCTTCACCAGCAAGTCTCACCCCATCAAAATCCAAGAGCGTTAAGTTCTTACCTGGTTAATACTCCGTATAATTTTAAGTCGTTTTTTTTTCTTATTAAAGTTTAGCTGATTCATTTGGTCAAAAATCATCTTTTTGGCAATAAGCAACTAAGCAAGTAAAGATGCACTTAATAAGCTGGAGAAAGAAGTCATTCACCGAAACGGTTTGAAATCCGACATTAGTTCTAACTTCTAAAAAACCAATTACCTTTAACCTGTTGGCACGTATATGTTTTAGAAATAATCTCATACCCTCTATATTATCTTCGACCATCATCTCGGAAATCGGAATATGATCTTTTGTGTGCCTTGTATTAACTAATTAATTTTAGTTTAACAAATAATCTCATAATAATATGGCGTGATTGGTGTCACATATTTATCTCAAATTATTCTACCAAATAACCTTGCAAAAAAATCTCTCTAATTCAACTGTGCTCCCGGGCAAATTATACCGTGGGATCGGTGCACCATCCTCATGGTGTACCGATCCCAAAACCATATAAATTTTCTCCGTGTTAATTAAATTCCGCAAGATTAAAAAGAGGCTCTGTGCGTTTCTTCTTGAGATAGAGCATTGGACGTTGGTCATAAACTACCGCCGACGAGGAAGTGGCGGCAGTGCAACAACTCATTCACAAAGCGGCGGCGAGAGCCTTGATGGCAGCTTTGATGCTGACGAGCAGATCCCACTGGAAGATTTAGTACAGATTGGTCAATCTCGTCTTCCTTCATGTCCAGGCAGTCCAGCAACTTGTTCGCAGTGAAGCCGTGCTCTGCTATTTGGGCGGCGGTGTAGTATACGGAGTATAAGTTTCTGAAGTTTGCTTTAATTTGTTAATATAAACCAGAGATTGCTTTAATTTGTTATTATTTGTTAAACCATATTAACAAATTGTTAATATGGTTTCAAAAGAAGTTTCTTAATTTCTTTTACTCATCACTATCGGATGATATGAAATTGGTAATTAACATTGGTAATTAACAGGTGATTAAATTTTGATGTATGTGATTTACATTTTAGTTACACGGTTACACCTTCTCCTGCGCGAGTTACACCTTCTCATGTACGAGTTACATATTTTTATTCTTGAGTTACATTATTTTATAAACGAGTTGAAGCGCAAGTTACATTTGTCATCAACGTAAGTTACATTTGTAATAACACGAGTTACATAAAAAAAATAACCCCTGCTATTGAAACAAAAAAAATGATTTTTTTTAAATCCTTGTGATGGTCATGATATTAAAAACAAAACATATTCACGATTTACTTCAAGTAACTGTGTAGTTAGACTCTTTTTTTCATTGTTTGCATTGAAATCAATGTTTTATTTCTTATAGTATGTATTTGATAAGTTACATTTCGAATGGACTTGAGTTACATTGATCTATAACGTGAGTTACATATCTTTACACACGAGTTACATCATTCATACTACTGAGATACAAAACAGTTACTATACACGCGTGTACTGTTCACGCGTTACTGTTCATGCGAATGTTTTTTTAAAAAATTGTGCAAAACTACGTCGTTTTGGATGTGGGAGCATGATGCTCACCGTAGAGTGATACCACGGTATACGAATTCGTGCTCCCGAGATAATTTGTCATGTCATTAGAATCATCCCCTAATAATCTCATGGATGAGGATTTTCTTAGATTTGATTCATTTACTCATTAAGTCAAAAGTCATTCTTTTCTAGTGCATACAAGCGTACATTTTTTTCTTTTCTAATTTTGAGTGCTTACATTACTGAATATATTCATAGATATCCTGTTTATTTCATTAAACGAAGTAACTATTATCACAATAATTTTTCTTTATTAATCAAAACTTGATTTTCATTAATAATGTCACTTCATGAAAGTAGTTAACTAGTTTAAATGATTATCTAGATTTTTTTTTGAATAAATGGTTATCTAGAGATAAACAACGCTTAGCTAAATACGTACTAAACAATATTGATTTTCCGTTTACATGTAGCCTATATAATTGAAAAGGATGACTGTTCAAGTGGGTTGTGGTCTTGTGGAGTTGTGGACTAGTAAGATGTCCATTATCCAATAACACATGCTCCGGGTATAAGGGAATGCAATTACATTAGCTAATGACCTGTATTGTGATAAGGGTGCTTCTACGGTGCATTACTTAATTTGATGTGTTTTGGTACACATCTTTTTTAACATCTACATCTTACGCCACCTCATATTATTACTAAACATAATAATTTTTTTCCATTTTTATATTTTAATCCTTCATCCGATTAGAAAAAAAAATAAAGAAAACTGAATAAAATTGTCAAGGGAGATTTATTTACCTAAATAAGAGTACATAAATTTTCAATTGTAAAAACAGGATTAAACTTTAAAACTACTCTAAATATGAGTTATTAATTGTAGTTAGACTGAAGTATACCTTGAAGGCTTGAAGCTTGACAAAACCTAATGCTGCTGAAAGAGCGACGGACCACCGATAGTTGTCGTTGGCTGCCGGTGTTGCACATCTGGCCGCTGGCGTTGCACATCTGACCAAATCTGGTCGACGCCGATAGACTAGTGGTGTTGCCCATTTGGCCGCCGCCTCCGTATATCTGGCCGGGTCTGGATGCCGCCGCCAAAGATCCGGCCTCTGCCGCTGAATATCTGACCTAACTCCAAAACTAAATAATTTACTAAATAGATTTTTGCTAGTTGCCTAAATCTTCTAGAAACATTAAATTTATCCTTTTATAATTTTTTTGAGACAAATATGAGTGTTAAAACAATAAATTATTAATTATTCACATTTTGAAAATGTGTATTAAAAAACCTTTTACAAAATAAAATTAAATACTTTTTGAATAACATGACAAAAAATTAGAGGAATCCTATTAGAATTTTATGGTCAAATGGAGGTTATTATCATCGATGGTGGATTAAAAGAAAAATCAATATAAATTTCAGGGATAAAAAACCAAAAGAATAGTTTTGCAAGGATATAAAACAAAATATATTACGGAGTATATTTACAGGGATTAAAAACATATTTAAACCTTATTTATATTAGGAAGGGAAAATATGGAATAAAAGTCCTAATGTCCTATTTAGAAAACAAAATATACATATACTCCTATGTAAGAATTTAGGAAACAATTTAATCCTGTTTATTTAGGCTATTAACTCAATCCTCAATATAAGTTACGTTGTCGTTAATCATGTGAAGTAGCACAATTCTACATTGTGATTGGATAAGAAATTGTATGTATCGGGCATTCAAAATTTAGGAATGTACGGTAGAATTTTCCCTGTGATAATAGTGACACAACAAAATGCTAAATACTAGATAAAAATCGTTACTCGTGCTATACTAATACTCCTATATACTAGGTTGGCCATTGGGGCAGAGCCAACTAGCCAAGGAGATCAGGTAGTAGTAGGAGTGGATCGGGCACCGGTCCTCAATTAGGACCAACCCAAGAAAATTTGGTCTTCAGATCGGAAACATAACATGTTTATGATCTAGAGTCAAGACCGGAAACGGTATGGGCGGGCTATGGTATTATGGATGGACCGGGCCCGGTCCGGTTCCAGCCTGGGCCGGGCCGGGCTTGGATTTTTTGGGTAAGGCCCGGGAGTCTGGGACTGGCCCGGGCCGGTTCATTTTTTTTAGGTTTTCTTATTTATTCCACCCCCTCATCCCCCAAACCCCTCGAAAACACCCGGCCCAAACCCAAATAAACAAAAAAAGCCCGAACTGGTCGGGCTGGTCCGCATTTTTCAAGTTCCGGACCTGTCCCCGGAATAGCCATCAGGTCGGGCCTATGCCCGTTACCGGTCACATGGGCCGGGCTGGTCCCGCACAGTAGCGGGCCGGGCCAGTTTCCGGGCCGGTCGGCCCGGACCGGCTCCATCCCTATATGGTATGGGTTCGAAATTTCGGGATTGGAATCGAGTAATTCAATCCCAGTGGCTAGTTCAATCTATTCTATAAATAACTAACATAAATCATGCGAAACAAATATGAAGAATAAATAATTAGTTGATTTATGCCAAGTAACTTGTGGTTTGATGACATCACCGTTGATCTCCCAAGGAGAAGGTCGCAGGTTCGAGTCTCATCCCAATCAAGGATGTTGACATTAATAAGAGCAAATACTATAATAGGTTTAGAAGAATATTAAAAAAAACTAGTTGATTTAGAAGTATATAAATGTGTAAAGGAGATAATAGCATTACTAAACATTTACATATTTTTTTTAACATTTACATATCTACTTTTAAGATTCAATATTAAAATCATTGTTTTCTTTTTCAAAAGGCAGTTATTTCATATTGTTAAGAACATCAATTATCAATTCATAAGCATTACCGAACGTGTTTCAATGTCTTTTAGGCAATTTATAGCGGAGTATGCCATTCTATTTTGTGCTTTTGAAAAGGGCAATTTTTACCTTCGTGGTTTCGAAAAGGGTAACTTTGCTAACCATTGCAGTACCTTTTAGCTTGGTAGGTAACTCTTATAAATGCCCTAATGCAACTATTATTGACCAATTGATATGCATGACAAAATGTTGTCATTAAAATGACAGAGGTTTTGGCTAAAGTAATTTTCTTAAGGAAATTAAAAAGCACATAGCAAGATCCGTCCTCTGATGATCTGATCAATGCAAAATTGGAGTGGCCAAACTACTAAGGTGCTGGCAAGGCTTAGGGTTGGACAAACCAGATCATGAACCGCGTACGAATCTGGTGGGCAAATAATATATATATATATATATAGAGTGCTCTTCATGTCAGGCCGGCCTGACGGGCTGCCCCGTCCGGCCGAGCCCGTTTGGGCACCTTCCCGGTGGAATTTTTTGATGAAATTTTTTGAGCATGTTCCTCGTCAAGTCTAGTTTGTCCATACCAAATTTCAGCTCAAAATTCGATCGGGAAGGTCGTCAAATGATTTTTGCAAGTTAACTGGTCCGGAAAATACATATTCCAGACCAGTTAACTTGCAAAAATCATTTGACAACCTTCCCGATCGAATTTTGAGCTGAAATTTGGTATGGACAAACTAGACTTGATGAGGAACATGCTCAAAACATTTCATCAAAAAATTCCACCGGGAAGGTGCCCAAACGGGCTCGGCCGGACGGGGCAGCCCGTCAGGCCGGCCTGACATGAACATTCCTCTATATATATATATATATATATATATATATATATATATATATATATATATAGAGTGCTCTTCATGTCAGGCCGGCCTGACGGGCTGCCCCGTCCGGCCGAGCCCGTTTGGGCACCTTCCGGGTGGAATATTTTGATGAAATTTTTTGAGCATGTGCCTCGTCAAGTCTAGTTTGTCCATACCAAATTTCAGCTCAAAATTCAATCGGGAAGGTCGTCAAATGATTTTTGCAAGTCAACTGGTCCGGAAAATACATATTCCGGACCAGTTATCTTGCAAAAATCATTTGACAACCTTCCCGATCGAATTTTGAGCTGAAATTTGGTATGGACAAACTAGACTTGATGAGGAACATGCTCAAAAAATTTCATCAAACAATTCCACCGGGAAGGTGCCCAAACGGGCTCGGCCGGACGGGGCAGCCCGTCAGGCCGGCCTGACATGAAGTTTCCTCTATATATATATATATATATATATATATATATATATATATTTTGAAATCAGATCGATTTTTTACCTGGAATTGGAACTATTTCAATGTATGGGACCAAACTTCAAAGCCAGCTGATACACAAATCAAGCAAGATGGTAAGGAAACGAAAACGTTGTAACCAGAATACCAGTAAGGCAGTAACCAGATCATTATTATATGCACAGCTGCTGCAAAAACACTGAAACACTCTATTGCACATAATGTATTATGAAATGAAATGTTATTAGATTTTGAAGCAAAGTATAACTCAACCGGTGTGCAAAAAAGGAATCACAAAAATAAAAGTTGAGGATTACAAGATCATAATGATTTCTAAGATTTTTGGTGAACCTTCAATAATTATGAACCCCCAAGAGAGATGAAAAATACAAGGGTACATGTGATGCAACAAATCAAAAA